ATTGATACACATAGAAAATCTGGAAGTACAAATGTCAAAATATACATGGGTACTCTCTGATGGGTTGTGGGTTGTACTAATTTTCATCTTTGCAATGAATTATGTGTTCAATTTTCTTGCAATCACCATGTATTATTCATGTGATCTAGAAACACTGTTTTCAAAATCTAGTTAAGATGCTGCTGATAAGAAACACATCTAAATGATAGGGAAAAACTTTTTAAAAGGAAGCGTCTTTGGAAAATGCAGAGAAAAACAAAGCAAGATTGACAACATTCGAGAAGAAAAGTATATGATATAATAAGAAAGCACTTAACGAAACCGGGTGCAACCAAAGTTGTACTCAAATGTAGAGTCATAACTGTTCAGGTCTCTGTCACTTCAAGAAGATAGACTGAGTTATATGGGCATATTCTCCTCATATCCTGGGCACTAGTGAGCATCAGCCAGTTGAAAAATGTTTTTAGTCATCCAAAAACAGGGAAAGAAGAATCCATTGGAAACAACTTGTTATAACCTTCAGGTTTGGGAATCCATTTATTTTAACACAAATATTAGTGACCTTTTATGTAATGACTAAGGTTCTGAGGAAACTAACCCTACAGTAGGAGAACTTGGAAATGTTTTACTCTTTTCAAATTCAAAATGATTTTAAGAACTGATAATATGCAGCATTGGTAAAAAGGCCAGATGCAGTAATATCTTTTTTTTTTTTTTTTTGGTACCAGGGATTAAACCCAGGGGCACTTAACCATTGAGCCACATCCCCACCCCACCTCACCTTTTTTTTTTTTTTTTGAGACAAAGTCTCGATAAGTTGCTGAGCCTGGCTTTGAACTCAAAATCCTCCTGCCTCAGCCTCCCAAACCACTGGGATTACAGGCGTGTGCCACCATGCCCAACCTGACATATGCTTTTCATGAGAGGACAAATTAGTACCACCTTCCTGGAAAGAATTGGGTATTACACATTAAGATTCTTTATTTTGATGGGGAGGGTACCAGGGATTGAACTTGGGGGCATTTGGCCACTGAGCCACATCCTCAGTCCTACACTAAGATTCGTAAGAGTTTTCCTCCCCCTGGGCCCAGCAAATGCTCTTTTAACCCAACTTTCCCAAAGCCAGGCTCAGTGGTGCACACCTATAATCTCATCAATTAGGGAAACTGAGGCAGAAGGATCAACAATTCAAAGCCAGCCTGGGCAACATAATGAGACCCTGTCTCAAAATAAAAAATAAAAAGGGCTTGGAATGTAACTCAGTGGTTAACCACCCCTGGGTTCAATCCTCAGTACCAAAAGAAGAAGAAAAAATAAATAAAACTATCCCAATAGCCTGAAATACAATGATATAGAAATGTTATTTTGGTATTATTTTAAATAAGGAGAAATGAATAAGCAAAAACAAAAATGTTTAGTTCTGGCAATAAGGAAGCTATGAATGGTGGTATATCCAAAACTGGAAATACTTAGTAGTCAAATACTGCATTTATTAAATTTTTCTTAATAATTTGCAAAAATTCTTGGGATAAAATATTAAGAGAAATAAAAGAGGACTCAACACTGTTTGAACAGTATGCTTTCAACTGCTACCTTAATATGTGCAAAGAAAAAAGACCAGAAAGAAGGAAAGACGTCATTACTAGATTAGGTTAGTAGAATCATAAATTAGTAGAATTAGGTTAGTAGGATTATAAATGATTGCCATTTGTTTACAAGTTTTCTACTTTCCTGTATTTTAAATTTTTCCCATTTTTTCATTTTCTATTGCTGTCATAGAATACCATAGACTGTAGTTTACAAAGAAAGTTGATTTTACCCATAGTTTCTGGAGGCTGGGAAGTTCAAGAGTGTGGTGCTGGCACCTGGCAAGGTCTTCATCCTCCATCATAACATGGTGGAATGAGAAAGGGCAAGTTATGCATGCAAAAGAGAGACCCCAAAAGGCAGACTGCTTTTATTTCTTTATTTCTTTATATTTTTTATTAGAGCTGTATAATTATGCATAGTAGTTGGGTGCATCCTGACAAACTATACATGCATGGAAACTGATTTCAGTTCATGATCCCCACCCTTTTCCCTCACGTCCTCCCCTCCCCTCTCCTTCACTCAGCACTGTTTTATAACAGCCCACTCTTTCAATGACTAACCCCTCCCACCACAATAACATCAATCCATTTTTGAGGGCTCTGTCCTCATTACCCAGTCACCATCCAACATTAGCATATGGCAAATCAAGTTTCCAACACATAAATTTGGGGAATACAGCTAAACCACAGCAATTTTTAAAAAAAAAAAACTATTTAAAATCTCAGAATTTTTTTTTTAAGTTTCAAAAATTGAATATGCTTTAGCTCACTCTCCTACCCTGCTCCAGCCCAGGTCCTACTAGTATGAGAAGAGGGTACCACCAGGGGAGATGAGTAAACAGAATGCAGGGCAGAAATATAAAGGCTGCTCTTGCTGAGTACACCTAGAGTCCCAGCTACTTGGGAGTCTGAAGCAGGAGGATTGCTTGAGCCCAGAAACTCGAGGACAGATTGGGCTTCAGAGCCAGACTCTTCTCCTGGGAGCTGAGCTCAGCAGAGGAGAGAAGCCTTTTTAATTTTTTTAATTTCAAGAGATGGGTCTACTGCTGGTTCCGGCAGATCCAATTAAAAGACCCAATTATCCCACCCCTCGGTCTATACCCAAAGGACTTAAAATCAGCATACTATAGTAATGCAGCAACATCAATGGTCATAGCAGCTCATTCATAATAGCTAAACTGGAAGCAACTTGAATGCCCTTTAATAGATGAATGGATAAAGAAACTGTGGTGTGTATACACAATGGAATATTATTCAGTGTTAAAAGAGAATGAAATCATGGCATTTGCAGGTAAATGGATGGAGCTGGAAAATATAATATTAAGCAAAGTAAGCCAATCCCAAAAACCAAAGGCTGAATGTTCTCTGGTAAGTGGATGCTGATCCATAACAGGGAGGGGGAGGCATGGGAAAATGGAGGGCAAAGGGGAAGAGGGTAGACAGGGTGCATGAGGGCAGGAAAGATGGTGGAATGAGATGGACATCATGACCCTAGGTACATGTATGACTGCACATATGGTGTGACGCTGCATCGTGTACAACCATAGACATGTAAAGTTGTGCTGCGATTGTGTGCAACGAGTCAAAATGCATTCTGCTATCATATATACCTAATTAAAATAAATAATTAATTTTTTAATTTCAAGAGATGGGTCTACTGCTGGTTCCGGCAGATCCAATTAAAAGACCCAGTTATCCCACTCCTCAGTCTATACCCAAAGGACTTAAAAACAGCATACTATAGTAATGCAGCCACATCAATGGTCATAGCAACTCATTCATAATAGCTAAACTGGAAGCAACATGGATGCCCTTTAATAGATGAATGGATAAAGAAACTGTGGTGTGTATACACAATGGAATATTACTCAGTGTTAAAAGAGAATAAAATCATGCTGGGTACGGTGGCACACACCTGTAATCCCAGCGGCTCGGGAGGCTGAGGCAAAAGGATCCTGAGTTCAAAGCCAGCTTCAGCAAAAGTGAGGCCCTAAGCAACTCAGTGAGACCCTGTCTCTAAATAAAATACAAAACAGGGCTGGGGATGTGGCCCAATGGTTGAGTGCCCCTGAATTCAATCCCTGATACCAAAATAAAAGTGCCCACCGTGGGGGGGGGGGAACCAGGTCTAAGTAGCCACATCTGTAATAGAGGCAGGTGGAGCAGGGGTTCTCAGCCCTGGCCACAGTGGAGCTGGGGCTCAACCACCGTTTTGAAGCTCTCCTTCAGATTCCCTTTGCCCAGGGCAAAGATCGGCTGGGGAAGTGAATCTGGTAAGAGGAGCAAAGAAGCAGAGACAGCTGAGGATGGCCCGAGGGCGCCTGGGCTGACCCACACCACCTGACTGAGCCTGGCAGTCACAGCCCAGGCAGTCAGCTGCACGGAGTGGGCTCTCAGGGGCAAAGACCCGGAAGGTGGCAGGTCCTTGCTGTATGTGCTCATGGGGAGTCTCAGACAAACCAAAGCACCCAGACAGGAGTCGCTCATCCACCGCTCATGCATCCCCTACATGACGGCAGAGTGGAGGACAAAGCGGGACCTCACAGATCCAGGGAGGGTGGTGACATCCCACTCATTCACCTTATACCCAGATGTATCTAAAAAAACAAATGAGACCTTATGAGATAACTGTAGGGTCCCAGGAGGTTGAGTACCTTCATGAATATCCCCCCAGAGCAACCGCACAATGTCCTGCAGAAATGCAGCACACTGGATCCTGGAGATATCAACAGTCTGGTGCAGAGTTACCCGGGGTAATTCGTATCTAATTAGCGTAAGTTTAGTTCTATACAATTTTATCACGTGTAGGTTTGTACATTCACCACAGCAGTCAAGATACAAAACAGTTCTACCTGTTGTCCTTTTCCTTTTTTTTTAAACCAGGGATTAAACCTAGGGGTGCTTAGCCACTGAGCCTCATCCCCAGCACTTTTTTTTTTTAATTTAGAAACAGGGTCTCACTAAGTTGCTTAGGGCCTCACTGAGTTGCTGAGGCTGACCTGAAACTTGTGATCCTCCTGCCTCAACCCCCTGGGTCCTTGGGATTTCAGGTTGTGCCACCACATCCAGCCCCCAATGTCCCTTAATAACTATAAATCTTAACCCTTGGCAACTACTTATCTGTTCTCCATTCTTACAATTTCTTCATTTTGAGAATGTTATATAAGTGAAATCCCACTATATTTAACATTTGGGCAGGTCTTTTCCACTCAGTAAAATTCCCTTGAGATTCTTTCAAGTTGTTGTGTTTAACAGTAGTTCATTCCTTTTCATGATTGTGTAATACTCAAGGAAATGGCCATACCGCAGTTTGTTTAACCATTTGCCTGTTGAAGAACATCTTGTCTGTTTCCAGTTTGGGGCTATTATGTGTAAATTCACCATTTTATTATTCGTTGTTTTTTTTTTTGGTGTTGTTGTTGTTGTTGCTGTTGTTTGTTTCCTTTTCTTGTTCTCATTTTCCTTTCTTACCTTCCTGTGAGTTAATTGAACATTTTTAGGATTCTTACTTGACCTCTTTGTAGTATTTTTTGTATATGTCTGTATAGTTTTTGATGGTGGAATGAGATGGACACCATTACCCTAGGTACATGTAGTAGTTGTTCTGTTTGCACGATATACAAATATGATTTGTCAAAAAATTACGATTTGTCACGATCTACTGATTTCAACATTTTGCCACTCAAGGTAGAGAGTGGTATTATGATTTGACTCTGGAATGTCCTCGAAAGGCTCGTGGGTTGAAAGCTCGGTCCCCAAGGCAGCGGTGTTCAGACTGGGGCTATTAACTGGATTCTGAAGACTCTGAGCTCCCCAGTGGATTCGTCCACTGGGGGATTAATACTTGGTTGTCATCCCTGGGAACTGTAGACAGTGGGACCTCGTTAAAGAAAGGAGGTCACTCGGGCTGTGTCCTGGAGGGGCTCCTTCCTTTCTCTCTTCTCTCCCCTTCTTTTCCCCTCCCTTCCTTCTCCTTCTTCTCCTCTCCCTCCTTGGTGGCTGCCGTGAAATGAGTGGCTTGCCCCCACCACACCTTCCACCGTGATCGTCTGCCTCGGAGTCCACCAACCATGAGCTGGAACCGCTGAGCCACAAGAAACCTTTCCTTAGGTATTTGTCCCACGGCTTCTCCTAGCAGGTCTCTTGCCACTCACATCGCTGTTGCCCTGCAGGGAATGCACAGATACTTCCTCACTTACAGTCGGGTCCTGTCCCAGAAAACCCACCTAAGGTGAAAATATCCCCCAGTGAAAAGCACATGTCTACCCCCACCTTAGCCTAATAGCCCAGTCCACCTCAGCCAATTGAATTTTTGATGACTATGTGGCTGACGGGTGGCCACGCTCACTATCGATACCCAGCATCAAGTAGAGAGGGCATGGTACGGCATATTACTAGCCCAGGAAAAGCTCGACACTCAAGTTTTGATGTTTTGTTTCCACTGAATGTGCATCACTTTCACACCATGGTAAACTGGAAAATTCCTAAGTCGAACTATCATGAGTCAGTCCCTCTGTATTGCTTCTGATAGGAAGATGTGAGTGTGTGTGTGTGTGTGTGTGTGTGTGTGTGTGTGTGTGTGTGTGTGTCTTCAGCTTTCAGAAGTTTAATTGTAGTGTGCTGAGACATGCAGTTATATTTGGGGCTTACTCAGCTTCTTGAATCCATAAATGTATATCTTTTTATCAAATATGAAATATGAAATGTTTTCACTCACTATTTCTCCAAATACACATTTAGTCCCCTTCTCTTTCTCCAGCTGAACTCCAGTGAGATAGATGTTGAATCTTTGGCTAGAGTCTCACAGATCCCGAAGATTCTGTTCATTGCTTTAAGTCCAATTTGGGTTTTTTTTGTTTGTTTGTTTGGTTGGTTGGTTCATTTGTTTGTTTTTGTTGAGATGATGGTGGTTTGTTTTGATTTGGGGTGGGTTTGGGGGGGGTTTTGTTGTTGTTTTGTTTTGTTTTTTTGGTCCTGGGGATTGAATCCAGGGGTGCTAAGCACCAAGTTACAACCCCAGCCCTTTTTATTTTAAGACGGGCTCACTAAGTTACTCAGGGCCTCGATACGTTGCTAAAGCTGGCCTCCAACTCGGGATCCTTGTGCCCCAATCTCCTGAGCCTCTGGGGTTATAGGTGTGCACCACCATGCTTGGTTTTAGTCCATTTTCTGGTTTTTTATCTTGTTTGTTTTTAAATATCTTTATTTTACTTATTTCTTTTTATGTGGTGCTGAGGACCAAACCCAGGGCCTCACACATGGCAGGCCAGCCCTCTACCACTGAGCCACGACCCCAGCCCCGCATTCAGTGTTATTTAGATTGGGAAAATTCTATTGTTTTATCTTCAAGTTCACTGATTCTGTCCTCTGCCATCTCCACTGTACTATTGGCTTTTTTAAAAAAAATTTTCCATTATTGTATTTTTGGGGGTATCATTTTTATAACTTATGTTTTTTTTTTTTTTTTTTTTCTTAGATTTTCCAGTTTATAAATTTGTTCCAAGAGCATTTGTAATTGCTTATTGAAGCGCTTCTCAGATGGCTAACAGTAATTCCAACACCTGATTCGTTTCTCTGTGTTGGCATCAATTGATTTTTCTTTTCAAATTCAACTTGAAATTTTCCCAATTGGGGGTCTAATGACTGAATTTTTTATTGTATCCTTGACTTCTTTTTTTTTATTATGTTAGGAGTCTTGAGTGGATTATTAAATATTTGACTTCAGCAGTCAGCCCCCTGTTTAGGTGAGCAAGCAGGTCCTGATCCACTTCGAGGTCTGTGGTTCCAATAACCATCTCATTTTTTAAGCCTTTCTGACACTATTTTGGTCTGCACGGCTTATCCGATTCCTTCCATGGGTCCCTGTTGGGGCTGCAGGACACAGAATCCTCAGGCTTAGGTACCTCTAGGTAGACAGAGAGATTCTCCAGTCCAAGGAAATGAAGAGACTCCCGGGATGGGACACTGGGTGGGGTGGGTGTCCTTGCTGGTGGGGACCAGCCATTGCCCCTCACCCCATCAATCCTCAAACTCCTTAGAATTGCTGAGGCTCCCCCTGGTGTTTTTGGCAGCACGGCAGGTCCCCCCAGGCCATCGTCCCTCTGCCAGGTGTGGCTGTGAATCGACTTGCCTCTGTTCCTCCAGGCCTGAGGTCTCAAACAGGCTTACCTTCCTCTTCCACTGGTCAGCACCCTCCTTTGGCTCTCTCTGGGGTCATTTCCAGGGGATACTCCTGTGCCTAGCAGGGAGGAACCAGGAGAAACGAGTCACCACCAGCTTGTCCCGATCCGAACCGGACCGATTGCTTTTCCTTTTCTCTGTCTGCTCCCGTCTACCCGCTTTTCATCCATCCCATTGTGAGCAGAGAAAACCCCAAAACGTCATGCCACCCAGTGATCCCCGTCTGAGCCAATAATTGCTAAGGATTTCTTTTATGTCTTAGCTCTTGTTTATGAAAAGTTAAACTCACACAGATGTGGAGAGTCGGTGACATCAAGATCACACTTGTCCTTCTCCAACATCCACAACCAGCGGCCCATCAGGTTTCCTGAGCGCTCCTGGCCCCTGGTGCAATAGACCATTTAAAGTAAACCCCAGACACCACGCGTCTGGATCCAGCTCAGGGTTTCAGACACAGCCTGGGGGTGTGTGCACTGGATACAGGCTCCAGGCCCGAATCTAAAAGGACTCTGGGTCTTACTGTAGCCCCCCAGAGTCGGGTAGCAGGGGAATAGTCTGGCCCAGGGGCAGCCCCCTGCCCCAACCCATGTCTCTGAGTTCTGCATCCCTGTTTGTGGCACAGGAACTTCCAGGCCCCATCCCCGCCACAGAGGTTCCCGGGACTGCCTGGGAGGGCTCCTCAGTCCCTCCCAACCTCCACCACGGAAGTCACCATGTGTGTCCTGCCAGGCCTCCCCTGTGATCACAGGCCACCCAGAGGGGCAGCCTCCGCCCAGAGGCCCCAAAGGGACTGAAACGCCCTCACCAACACCCTGGGAAAGAAGATTTGGAAAACATTCAGCTCTCAAGCAAAATTCACCTCTTAAGCCTATGGCCAGGTGCAAACTCAGAGCACCTGATTCTGGAACCGAGAAGCTGAACATGCTCACTCTGCAGGCCCAAAACCACCCCAGGCAAACAAAGCTTCCAGCCAAAGAGGGAGATGTCGGGACTAGGAGATTCAAATGAGACAGGTGTCTTAGAATTAAAAAAAAAAAAAAAAAACTTCCATAAAAAGGGGGAAATGGGGGGCTGGGGTTGTGGCTCAGAGGTAGAGCACTCGCCTAACATGCGTGAGGCACTAGGTTTGATCCTCAGAACCACATTTACAAAAATAAAATATATTGTGTCCACCTATAACTAAAAAATAAATATTAAAAAGGGGGAGGGAAGGCTCTGCCAGGGGAGCAACTGAAAGGCACACAAGTCCCAAACCTTGCCGGACAAGGAGACTCCAAGCACCACAGCCAGAGGATGTGTCCTGCCATAGAACCCAGTTCTTGGGTTCCTTGAGGGCTGGGTGCCTGAACATGGGACAGTTCAGAGAGGTTAAGTAATTGGCTGTAAGTTACACAGCTAGTAGGCAAAGCTAAGATAGGAACCCCACACCCTTTTCCTAACAGCCCCACTTGACTTCCTTTTCATAGGATAGGTCCAAGACCTTCTTCCTCGGACCACTCAGCCAAGGTGGGCCTCCAGGGACCCGCCTGAGGGTAGAAGGAGTGTTCCAAGCCCCAGTCACCCAAATATCAAGTTAGGGGACAAATACCCAATAAAAGGCCCTGGCCCAGCCCCAGGCTCCGTGACCTTGCCAGTGACCTTGCCTCCCAGGCTGGCTTCATCATCTGCAAAAAGACCTTCCCAAGAGCTGCCCTGTGGCTTAAAGACGACCCCGCCTAACCAGGCCCAGCCAGACCAGCACTCCCCTGGCCATTAGGACGGTGAGGCTCTGAGCTGGGCGGCAGTCCCCAGACCCCGCAGGCCTGAGCTGTATGCCATCCTTGCTGCTGAAGAAAAGCTAACCTGTGTCTAGCTACTCATTCAGAAACTGGCTTCCATCCTTCCAGTCGGCACGGCGGCTGCCCTGGCCACAACAGAGCCTTATCGCCAGCGTGGGCCTTGAGCCAGGTGGACAGTCCAGTGCACCACACACGGTGCAGCCCCTGTTCCCAGGAGCTGTGGAGTGAGGAGATACGGTGGCTGCCCAACTACCTGGCAGTCATCCCTGGGGGACCCAGAGAGGGACACAAGCCGCCTCCTGCAGCTCAAAGCCCCTGACGAGCTGGAGCCAGGTTTCCCCTAAATGTCTAATTACCACAAAATCTCCTCCTTCAAGGAGGAGAGTTAAAGAAGGAAAGGGAGAGAAATGGACAGGAGGAATGTTGCTATTTGGAGCAATAAAAGCAGAAAGGATCATGGCCAGCCAGGCTAACAGCTGTGGAGACTAAGGCCTGGGCTCAGGATAGGCGAGACCCCTGCCCACTGTGCCACTGGGGCAGCCAGGGTCCTGCTAGGCTGGGGAGCCTCTCTGAAACACAGGCCTTCTCCATAAAGCACCTCAAGGTTCTCCATCTCTGTGCCCCCACCAGGGCCCAGACCCCATGAAGGCCCTGGAGCCTGGCCCATGGCGCTAAAGGAGCTGGGGGTGGGGAGCAGTCAACTGACTTGTCCCAACTGACATCAAGGTATCGGGAGAGTGAATCTTGAATGTCGGTGGAGATGAGCTGAGTTAAAAAGAGCAAGGCCAGATAAGGGGGCCAGATGTTATCTTCCAGGAAGGGTGGCCTGAATTTCACAGGCAGAGAAGGAGGGGGGACAACCACCATGCAGGAAACAGAGGACAGACGTGAACCGGTCACAAGTCCAAGTGAATAGAGGCTGCCAGATGGCCCTTCCCCAGAGCTCTGCACTGCACTGGGGCTGAGGATAGAGGCCTCCTTCCCCCCAACCCATGCCCTGGCTCCAGGTGGCTCCAGGAAGCCAGGGTAGGGGACAGAGCAGCAAGTGCCCCCATGGTCCTTGTCTCTGCCTATCCCTTTTAATCCTCAACAGGGCCCCTACTCACCCCCAGAAGATATCTTCCTCCCTCTGTCTTCTCACACTCTCCACTGCCTCCCTGGTGGCCCCCACATACCAGCTGGGTCAGGACCCCTCTGGACAGAGAAATAAGCTGTACAAATCCAGGAGCTTCCCCTGGACATCCTGGATCTACACTCAGTCACCTCCCCCTCCCCATCCCACCCTGCCACACACACCCTCCCAGGACACAAATCTCTGTCCTGGAATTTCTCAAAGCATGGCCCTGCAGAATAAGTTCCAAGCAAAAAGGTCACCCGGGCTATGCCTTACCAAGCCGGCAGAACCCTCCCTGCAGGGCCTGGAGCTACCCTACCCACCACTCAGTCCCAAGGGCCCTGTGGAGACCTAATCGCAGAACTTCCACCACAAGATTCTGCCTCTGACCCAGCAGTTGGCCTGGTCCCACCCAGCAGGACCCACCTGTCCTGTGCCCCACTTGACAGAGGAGTCACTGAGATCTAGAAACGGCAGTGGGATGAGTGGCCAGCTACCATGAGCAGTCGCCCAGAACCAGCCGGGGAGGGCTGTGGAAGGGTCACAGTGCAGTCCCCCATGGTCTGCAACTGCAGGATGAGGAGGAAGACCAGGGCCATGTCCCCTTGTTTGAATTGCTCAGATTCTCATTAATCTATTTATATTCTCACCTTGTCCCTATAAGAATTTAAGGAGACCTTTAAATTCAACTGGAGACAACACAAACAAAAGTGAGAGCCAAGGCGTAGGAAGGCGGCCAGGGGCATGGGAAGGGCAGTGGCAGGTGCTGCTCCGCTGGCTGGGCTCTTCCCTTAGGGAACATAGTCATTGGAGCCCCTACCCAGCATCTGACCTGGTGGAGATCCAGAATTCAGGATGGCTCCGGTGGCGGGGAGGGAGTCTACCCCGCCGCCCCCCCTCCCCTCCCCCCACACACACCTGGCACACAGCAGGCCCTTCAAAAGCTCAGGAGGAGGCGGGGACAGCAGGCGTCCCAGTGCCTCTGGTGGTTTCTTCCAGTCCGTGTCCTTTAACCCACAGGACAACCCAGCGTTTCCCTAAGGGTCCGACTAGAACGTGTCCCTTGGGGGCCCTAAAAAGACACTGGGCAGGGCTTCTGCGCCCGCTGGGGAGAAAGGCACCGTGTACTTCGGGTAACGGGGGGAGGGAACACCTGGCCAGGGGTGCTGCGCAAGGGAAGCCTCCCTGGAAGAGGAGGCTGGGGACACCAGGGAAGGACCGCTCCCCCGCCGGAGGCCGGACAGCAGCGGGTACTTGGAGGGGTGGAGGGGACAACGGTAAGAGGCACAATAGGTCCTCGCTTGAAACCCCACTGTCCCACCTCTGGAGTCAGCACTGGACCCTGAGCCAGGGCTGGTCTAATTACAGGGGACTCCGAATCCACTGAGATCGCGAGGCCCTTTTAAAAGTTTGTCCCCAAACAAAATTCCTCTCTCCGCCTCGCCGCGGGAGGCTCTGAGGACAGACGCGGTTGCCCTCCTCCACCCCTTCGGAAACAACAATGGGCAGCCGGCCGAAAGAGAACCGGGGAAGCAAGTGTGGAAAATCCCCCAATTTTGCACTGTCAACTGCTAGGCGCTCGGCGAGCCAGCGGCTTCCGTGCTGCCCCCGCGCGTCACTCAGCGGGACTGCATCCCGGGAGGGAGGGGCGCCGCCGTTGATCTCCTGGTTCTCAGACTCTGAGGACGCATCTTGGGTAGGGAATAATGTTCGGTTCCTAAAGTCGAAATCTTACCGCGCCTTGCACTTTCCTGAGCCAAAAACGTACAGTGACTTGCTTTTACTGGATCATCACATCTTTCCACCAGCGGTGCTCTTTTTTTTTTTTTCTTGACATTAAGTCAGAGACAATGCATTAAAGAATTGATGAAGTGTGTCTTCAGTGGACCAAGATAGCCACTGAGCCCAGGAGCAGCGATAGCTCTTCCCAACTCTCAAAAGCATGCATTCTAAGCGCTGCCTCCAGCAAACCACTTCCCTTATGGTCCTATACAATCTTATACAACCTGTGGGGAACCTTGGCTACTGGGCAGAATCAGGTAAAAAGAAAAGGAAACCGCAAATAGAAGCACCCACTGACTGTCAGGCCCGGGCTGTGCCTGTATGATCTCAATGGAAATTCACAGCAACCTTTCAATGGACGTGTGAACACCAAAGGCAGCAACCTCAAGAAAGCTGCCCAGGCAGTGAGGGCTAGCACCTACATTCCACGATGCTCTCAAGTATTCAATGATTGGTAAAGCAACTTGACCTCAGGCTTGTGACTCATCTGACCTGATGTTGAGAGCCTAGAAACTCACCCGTCACCCGACTGAGTAAAATCCTGTAGCCAACAAGGAAGATTTTCTTCCTTCTAAAAGAATTCAAGAAAGGAAGGGCTTCCTGAATAATTGGGTTTCCCTGGTGGTTTCGGGATTTGTTTGTTTATTTTTGTACAGAAGCTTGAACCCAGGATTCAATCCAGGTTAACCCAGGAGCGCTTAACCGCTGAGCCACATCCCCAATCCTTTCTGTTTTGTTTGGTTTTTTTTTTTTTTTTCTTGAGACAGGGTCTCGATAAGTTGTATAGGGCCTTCCTAAGTTGCTGAGGCTGGCTTTGAACTTGCGATCCTCCTGCCTCAGCCTCCCAAGCCACTGGGATTTAGATATGCACCACTGTGCCTGGTCCCAATCAGCTATAATGGCAAGGAGGAAGTTTGATTCAACCCCTCTGGGGTAGATGTCATTGCTCCGTGGGTCAGGCTGTTCTGGCTCCCTTTGCAGATTGTCACATAGGTAACAACTCACTGGGGACCCTACACCAGGCCCTTCTTTCCTCTCTGGAGTCAGTTTCCCCACTGTGACCAAGAGGTCATCACAGGGTGAGTCCCAGATCAAGCACAGAAGGTTTTCTTAGCCTTCCTGAAGTATCCAGCTTTCTCTTGACCATTCTGGGACCACATTCCCACTTGGCAGCAGAGACTATTACCAGCACTGAGAAGTGGCTTCTCTAGACTTTCTCACTGTCCCCCACCTCAGACCTGTGCACCAGGGAAGGGAAGGGTTCTGGAACCAGACAGCCCAGAATCAGGATCCCACTTCTGGTAACTGTCCCAAGCTTGGCTGGCCCCAGAACCAGTATAGTAATACTTTCAAACTTCAGTTTTCTCTTCCGTAAAATGTGTGTCATAGACTTGGGCTTGGAAAAGACACAGCTGTAAGAAAGAACCTGGTACCTAGAGCTCTCAATACAGAACAGCCTTAATTACAATCTGCTGCTTGAAAAAGTGCTCCATCTGGGTAAGGATACCTGGTGGGTTGACAGGGCAGCTCTCCCCTGTGGCTCTGGGCTGCTGCCTCCAGCCCTGTGCAGGAAGACTCTCCAGGCCTCAGCCACAGATGGGGTCCAGGGACTGCAGGCAGAAGCAGACAGCACCAGGCACACTGCTGTGCTCCATTGTGCCACCCCTCCCCCCCACACACACACACACTCCTAGCAAGAATGAATTCTCCCCGGAGAAGCTAGATCAAGCTGCCCCCAGGCTTCCGTGGTCAAGGACAGTTTTAAAGCAGCTTATAAGATGAGCAGGACTTTCAGGTCCTGAATCTCACCAAGGACACCCCGCCCCCCCAGAGCCTCTAGGTCACTCTATTCAGTGCTCAGGGCCCTGCACCCCTCCCTCTAAGTGGACCAGATATTCCTTCAATCCCTTTGGAAAACTGCATCTCCCCTTTTAGTTGGGTTTCCTTCTTGAGGATTTCTTGGTGTGATCTACCATATTTTTCAACAGCTTTTTTGAGACATAATTGACATGCTGTAAGCACTCAGGACCCCCACCTGCACTCAGGTCCCTAACAGAATGGAAAATGGCAGAGCTTGATGTGGACATCTAACCCAGGCCTGACAGACTCACTCCCAGAGGCCACACTGGCCTGAATCAAAACAGGAAGGCCCAGGCAGGCTCCCCATGCCACTGTGAGATTCTGGACCTTCATTTCACACCCCACCCCAGTTCCTGCTCCTTGGAGGGTCTACAACCTCTGCATGGAGTCAGGGTACTGGGTGTGGCCCACTCTCAGAGCTGCAGTGTGCACCAGGATACACCAGATCCTCCCATCCTGGGATCCACTGGAGACCCCATCTTGCAAGGTGTGCACCAACGGGAAGGCCCAGGCTGGACACCACCCAACACAGGATGGACCCAGGACACCATCACACCCTCCAACCCACCCATGAAATCAAGAAGTTAGAATTTGCTCTGGACTCTCACAATTTTTAAATGTTGGCTCCGCTTTTTATAACTTCTTATATTGGAAGGCGAAAAATGCACATTGGTTGAAATTCCTTTCAAACAAGAAGTGTCTGCATTAAACTGGCCCGCAGGCCTCTGCAGACATTTCAACATCTTTTCACAGAAGAACTCCCAGTGATGGTCCCAAAGCTACCCAGGGGGCAGGGAGCAAGGAAGGGGTCCTACCAGGCTCTGGGTCGGCTCCCTACCCTCCCTTTCAGTTCCTGGCCCTAGTTCAGTCGCCCCAACCCACTTGGTGCTCCCGACCCCCTGGTCTCTCAAGTGTAGCTGAGCCCTCTTGAATTTAGAACTTCTGAGTGCCCAGCATGCAAGGTCAAGGCTTCTCCTCCGGTGAGGACAAGGGTGCCTCCAGACCTGGGGAGGAGCAGGGGACCCAATCCCCAGAGGCGCTGCCGCTGAGTGCTCCGGGCCCAGAAGGATCGCCCGGGCCTCAGTTCCACGCTCCCTAGTCGCTCCCGACGCTTCTTGCTGACTGGAATCAGTTCCCAGTTTACAGCTGCCCGCCTCCTGGCTGCGACTTCACCGCCGGAGACACCAAACCCGGCGCCCAGCACTGGCCTATGGCCCCCAATGCTCCATAGGCGGAGCCGAGGATCCGCGCGGGCGGCGACGACAAGAGGCGCCGCGGGGGC